TCACGTACCTCCACACGAGCGACGTGCCGATCGTCCATCGCGACTTGAAGAGCCGCAACGTGCTCTTGGACTCGACCAAGGGAACAAAACTCACAGACTTTGGCATCTCGCGCAGCGTCCACGTCCACGACGACGATAGGCAGCTCACGAACGGCGTCGGGACGTACCAGTGGATGGCGCCCGAGGTCATTTGCGGCACGGACTACTCGGTGGCGGCCGACATTTACTCGTTTGGGGTCCTCCTCTCGGAGTTCTCGACGCACAAGGTGCCGTACGCAGACGTGCTGCACCCGACGCACGGCCGACCCGTGACGCAGCAGTACGTGATGACGCAGGTGACGCAGGGATTGCTGCAGCCGACGTTTGCGGCCGTGGGCGTGCCGTCGTGGGTGCGCGAGATCGCGCTGCAGTGTCTGCAGACCGACCCAACACTGCGACCAACCGCAGCGCAGCTGACGGTTGTCCTGCGGCATGTGTGACGATCTAGAACTTGACAGAAACCACTCTATTTATTTTGGAAAAACGAATGCGGTGTGATTTGGGTGTCGGGATGCATTGAAGCATTGACATACATGTATATCACGATCACTTGGATTTTTCTTACTGTGTTCATCAATGTACAGCATGCACGACAGCCTACCGGTAGTGCGCTGTTGCGGCAGCTAAATACACTTGCTCTAGGGTAGTACACTGCTGTACAGGGCGCGTACGTACTAGAATGCTGGCAATTGAATGCTGGCAGTTGTTTCGTTCTATTATTGGGAGGCAGCTGTCAAGATCTGATATAAGACGGATTGTGATCACGTCATATGGCGCACTGCATCTCCAAAGGCACAATTGACAACAACATCTGGCGTGACGAAACAGTCCGAATGTGCGGTGGTGTGGCGTTCACGGGCACAAAATGTTGGTGGGATGTGGAGAGGAAATGTTGGTGTGAGGGGAGGTGATCTGTGGAAGCTGATGACGGACTGTGGCGGTCGCGAGTGATGTTGTCCAGAGCATACACGACGGGATAGGACGTCGTTGTCTACATGCCCATGTGGACACTTCGACGCTGGTCGTGGTTGACACTTGTACAACTTTACTAAAGATATCGGTACGTGTCGCAGAATTTCCGACAACAGGCTCGTGGAATCACACAAGTGAGCTAATACAGTGTATGGAGCGACGAACAAGCAATCCTCTACAGCTATCTATACTCTGCATGTGGGGTATATCTGAAAATGGTTACGATCTGACGCTTGTGCGTCAAATCAGGTACTACCGGTACTAGTACATCCAGCACGGTACTTTCCTATCAACCTGTCCGTCCCATGCACTTTCGCACATGACGTCGGCCGCCGGAATAGACAAGCGTGAATACTGTGCATAGCACTCATTACATACCTTATTCTATCCAATACACTTACTTGATAGCGTCACCGAAAAACATTTTAACGCTCTATGCCAAGCGCCGACACGATGTCCCAGTCGGACCGAGAAAGCAACTGTAGATGTCAACTAGCAGCGCTCTCGCTACAGTACACTATGTAGTATGTCGCACGCAAAACAGTCCAAAAGCGGGTGCAAGTATTCATCGCCCCGCCCTTTCGCTTTGTGTCGCATCCACGCCATGTTCATTTTACAAGTCGCCACGTGGATGATGCCACGGCGCTTCTTGTCGCTTCTGCTGCTGCTGCCACTCGTGGTGACGGCAGCAGAGTGTCCGTACGAAAGCTACGCCACCGACGGCGCTATCCTCGTGGCCGATACAACCTACTGCTTGTCGACAGCGCCTGTCTGCGCTGTCGACACGTCGTGCCGCCGTTTGCTCAGCCACAAGATTTCCCGCGATCAAGTAAAATTTTCCGGTTACTCTGCGCTCGGCAACCTCACGGCGTATCCGCACGACGAGCTGTGCGATCTTTATGGCAATTTCGCGCAGCTAATCGGACGATGGCCACTAGGTACATCGGCAATGCGTCGTATGTGAATGCCAATGCCATGGAGCTGCCTTCGACCCTCCTCACGCTGTACCAAACCGCGTTGTTTCGTGACGACCTGCGAATACTGATTGATGCTGTCGTAGGAGCTTTGACAACGTCACCGCGATTAGCCTAGGCGTTGTCTATAGCGACCTTATTGACAACATCACCGAGCTGTACAGCCTCCGTCCTTTGACCAGCACGTGGTCTTATGCATTGCTTACGTAGAGAGTTTGTGTCGTGTGGTATCAGCATCATGCCAAGTTTGTTCAATTGGCCGCCGCGTCTCGAGACGCTGTATGCTCGTGCTGGATACGCAAGCTGTTTGACTTATGCGCGTTGCCAATTGTGTAGCACTATGCTCGACAATAAGTTGCAGACGATCCCCAAAGCACTGCCGTCCTCGCTGCGCGAACTGTTAGTTTTCTATTCAACCATCTCAAACGACGATTTTTTCAATGTGACGCGTAGGGCCATCCAAGACAATGAGCTCACAGACCTCGTGTA